TTTTTTTTTTATCAGTATATCTTTAGAAGCACTTAGTACTTCTTTGATTATAGTTATCACTACATTTTTTAGTTCAGAAATTATTTCTGATCTGATTTCTTCTATACCTTTGTGCAGTTCTTTCTTTACTGTTAATGCTATTATTTCAGAGCTATCTGGTGTGTGATTTCCAGTTTCTTCAGCGCTAGTGTCTTCTGCAGTTGTACTGGGTGGACTCTAGGCCTGAGACTGCATTTTGTTCCTTCTCTTTGTCATTTTGTATACCACTGTCTTCTGACCTTTGGTGTAGAGCTTAGAAAGAGTTATTACCTTAGCACCAGGTCCAGATCTATGAAGTTCAGATTCCTCCAGGTGGGTGTTGTTTGGTTCTGGCTGTGTGCTCCACTTCTTTCTGCTGCAGGTGTTACAGGTGAACCCTTTGTGTCTGAAGATGTTCTGCTCCTGAATCAGCTGGGTGGGTCTTGCCTCTAGCTTCTTTGCAGGGAGTTCTGCTGAAGGGTTCCGTGCTGGGCCTGCAGCCTGGGTGGAATGAGGATCCGAGGGCCCCGGGTCGTCTCACTCACTCCCGGGCCTGCGCTCCGGGTCTGTTCAGGATCCCGCGGCCCTGGGTCGTCTCACTCACTCTCCGGCCTGCGCTCTCTTTTTTTTCTGTATTGTAGGGAAGTGTCTACAAGGTGTTCAGAGTCTCGCTACTGGAGCGGACTCATGATCCGCCTGTTTACAGCCTCCCAAGAGCTGGGATTACAGGCGCGCACTACCACACCCAGTCTCAAGCGTGCATCAGGGGCGGGGCTGGCACAGCGGCCCGGGGATCAAACCTCTAGCTCCTGTGCCTGCTTGCGGGTGCTTTAATCCGCTGAGCTATTTGGCTAGCCCTGCCCTTAGTTTTTAAAAAAAATTGGCAAACTCTCCTGGGACAGTGTGATGTTTTTACATCCCACCAGTGTATGCCTGATTCAGTTTCTTCATATCCTTGCCAGCATTTAATATTGTTACTTTTTTATTGTAGCCATTCTGAGAAGTGTGTATGTTTTGTTTGTATCTCCCAAATGGTTAAGAATATTGAGTGTCTTTTCATGTGCTTATTTGCCCTCTGATTCTTCTTTGGTGAAATTTCTCTTCATGGCTTTTGCCCACTTTTCTAATTTTTTTTCATTGTTGGATTTTGACAGTTCTTTATTCTATATACTTGTTCTTTATCAAATTTTTGTTTGCAAATATTTTCTCCAAGTCTATGGCTTTTCCCTTAATAGGGTCTTTTACAAAACAAGTTTTTACATTTTATTTGTTTTTATTTTGAAAAGTAAAAAATGGTTATACAAAAAAATTAGAAACAATACAATATTTCACTAAACAAAGTAATAGGATTCAACAGTGGTTGCTGTACTACATGATGCTGTCTTTAAATTAGTTGTTCAGATTACCAGATATAAACACGTAAGATTCTTTTGACAGGAAAAAAAAAACCAACAACACAAAAATCAATGGCAAAAGTTATAAAAAATTTAAAAGGGGAAAAATTAGAGTTAAAAATTTTTAAGAAGTTTAAAAATTTTAAAAAGTCTTATTTTATCATTTTTGTTTTCTTTTATAGTCATGTTTTTGGTGCCTAAGAATTCTAACTAGTCCCAGATTCCAAAAATTTTTATACTTTCACATTTTATGTGTTTTTTTTTTTTTTATGAGCAGAATGAGGGAAAGAAAGCTTCTGTCCAAGAGAGGGACAGAAGAGGGACCTGAGTGGGTTGTCCCCATACATTTTATGTTTTAGACCATTCTCCTTTTCATTTAATTGACGTGTGTGTGTGTGTGTGTGTGTGTGTGCACATGCATGCATGTGCGTGTTGCTCGTATATGTGTAGGTGTTCCAGCATCATTTTTTTGCGGTACCGGGGATTGAACTGAGGACCCTGTTCTTGTCAGGCAAGTGCTTATTCTACTGAGCTATCTCCCTGGCCCTCCAGCATCATTTATTGGAAAGGCAATTTTTTCCTTGTCTATAGTGCTTTATACCCTTTGGGAAAACTCATTTATGTCATGGTCTCGTCTCTTCTTTCTTTCTTTCTTTCTTTCTTTCTTTCTTTCTTTCTTTCTTTTTTTAAATGTATTTGGTAGAGAGTCTCACTACACAGCTCAGACTCGTAGTGATTCTCCTGTTTTCAGCCTCCCCAGCACTGGGATTACAGGTGTGTGCCACCATGCTGGATCTCAGTGGCTGGCTCAGCATGCCTCGGGGCGGGGCTGGAGTGGCATGTGGTGCCAGGGATCGAATCCAGCCCCTGTGCTAGTCCGCTGAACTATCTCACTGACCTGTTTTTTTTTTTTTGTTTGTTTGTTTGTTTTGCAGAACTGGGATTGAACTCAGGCCCTTGTACTTGCCAGGCAAGTGCTTATTCTATTGAGCTATCTCCCTGGCTCCTCATTGGCCCACCGGCTGGCTGGCCAGTCGGTCGGTCAGTCTGTCTGTCTCTCTGTTTCTCTCTCTCTCTCTCTCTCTCTCTCTCTCTCTCTCTCTCTCTCTCAAGCTTTTTTGACACAAGCTCTCACTATGAATTTCATACTGGCCTTGAACTCACTATGTAGGCTAGGTTGGCCTCAAACTCATGGTGATCCTCCTACCTCAGCCTCTCAAATGCTGGGATTACAGATGTGTGCCAAATTCTTTGCTAGTTTGGCATTTTTAAAAATATATTTGGGAAAAAATGTATTTGGTTGTTGCAGGGTCTCACTATACAGCTCAGACTTGTGATCCTCCTGCTTTCAGTCTCCCCAGTGCTGAGATTACAGGGGTGCACCACCATGCCTGGACTGGCCAGATCAGCCTGCCCTAAGGGTGGGCCTGGCGCAGCATGTGGTGCTGGGGTTCGTACTATGGTTCCTGTGTTTGCCTAAGCTTGCCTAAGCAGGTGCTTTAGTCCGCTGAACTATCTCGCTGGCCCCTAGTTGGGCATATTTGTGATGGTCAGGTTCTGAATTCTGTTCCAATGACCTCTGTCTGTCCCAGAGCAATACCATATAGTAAGCCTTAAAATTGATAAATTGGCTCTTCTCATTTTATTTTTTTCAAGAATATTTTAGCTATCCTAGGGGCCGGGGAGATGGCTCAGTGGAATAAGTGCTTCCCTTGCAAGCACAAGGGCCTGAGTTCAGTCCCCAGTTCCACACACACACACACACACACACACACACACACACACACACACAAAAGAATATTTTAGCTATCCTAGTTTCTTTACTTTTCCTTCTAAGTTTTGGGGTTAATGTCATCTAAATCTATAAATAATCCTGCTTGGATTTTAATGAGAATTGTGTTAAGCCTATATATTGTTCTGGGGAGAACTGACTCTTGTGCTATATTGAAGCTTCCAACTCACAAACGTGGTATATTTTTCTTTTAAGATCGTTTTAGGGGGCCTGCTAGTTCGCTCAGTTGTTTAAGTGCCTGGTCATGCAAATGCAGTCAGGCGCAGCATATGGTGGTTCGATCCCCACATCCACCTGCATTACCAGACCTGCCTTTAAGGCAGCCTGAGCCAGCCAAAAAAAAAAAAAAAGAGAGATCGTTTTAATTTTAATCAGCCTTTTGAAGTTTTCAGCGTACAAGTCTCGTACCTGTTTTGTTGGATTCCACCTCCTTTATGCTTTGTCCAGCCTTTGCTTTCGCTGCTGTTCAGCAGTTAAGGTCCATCTCACGTCAGTGCTAAGGAATTCTCACACTCTAGCACTGTGCCTGAAGCTCTCTCTCCTGTCTCCTCCGGGTTCTTTTCTCATTGTTTAGTGCTGGGAGTAGTTAAGCGTTCATAAAATGGAGTCCCCAAAGTCCATTTGAATTAATGTTTCCTTCATTCTTCTCTTCATAGTGTTTTATTTTTGCAAAGGAATCAAAAAAGAATCCAGCCCTGACTCACTAAGCAGATCTGTGTGTCCTAGAGGTCACCCCTTCCCTCTCTCTAAATGTTAGATTCTGTTGTCTGTTCCAGGAATGGTGGTTCCTTCCAAGACCAAAATTGTGTGCCACTTTTCTACTCTTGTATTAACCTGTGGGCAGCCACACACCCTTCAAATAGTGCCCCGAGATGAGTATGATAATCCTACCAACAATTCCGCATCCTTGCAAGATGAGCACAATTACTGTTTGTCCATCCATGAGGTAAGTGCCCCCTTCTTTCTCTTGTGTGCTAGGAAGAGCAGGCTCATCCCATCATTATTACCCCTTCTGATTCATTTCTGTCTCTTCTCCCCTTGCATTCTGCTACAGTATTGACAACACTTATCTCACTAGCAATTGTGAGACATAGATAATAGATCAAAGTTCTTTATAAAGAGTAAGTTGCTAGGGCTGGGATGTAGCTCAGTGGCCTGAGCTCCTGCCATGCAGGTGCAAGGTCCTGAGTTCAATTCCAGATACCAAAAAAAAAAAGAAAGAAAGAAAGTAAATTGCCTTGCAGATAGGAAAATTTCTTTTCTTTTTTTTTTTTTATTTATGAGAGAGAGAGAGAGAGAGAGAGAGAGAGAGAGAGAGAGAGAGAGAGGGAGAGGTGTGTGTGTGTGGCCAGCTCAGTCCACCAGGGGGCGGGGCTGGCTGGCATGTGGTGCTGGGGGATTGAACCGCGGTCCCTGA